AGAGGGAGCCCTCTCAAATATTGTCCAACCTCACCTAGAGGTAGCATGGTATCCATTACTTTCCAAGGTATGGGTTGTTGCTGTTTTCTTGACTCTTCTCCATAACTAGTTTAAGCTAGTTAGTAAAGTCTTAGGCTTTTGTTTGTTTGTTTTGGGACTCACTGCTGAAGAGGTGATAAAGTAGTCAGCCACAAACAAAACAAGTTAGCATTCTGCATCCCTCCAGGAGCTGCCTGGATCTTATTCGGGAGGGTGATTTATTCCACTTGTGTCTAAAAGCACCACAGCATCTGGGGCAGAGATGGGAAACACGTGACCCTCTGGATGTTGTTGGACTGCAACTCCCATCAGCCCCAACCATGATGGCCATAGAGATGACTGTAGTTATATCCAGCAACATATGGAGGGCTGCAGATTCACCATCCCTGATCAGCGGGTAAAATCTTCCAGTGTTGACCTCTACTGCCATCCATTGTTGATGGCAATCATTTCTGTCCTGGGTTCCATCACTGGGTATAGAGAGTAGTAGTCCAAGCAATGAAAAAGGTGCCTGACAAAAATAAGGAATGAAGCGCAATGAAAATCAAAGGAATGGACAGCTTCACTCCTTGAAGACTGATCTATTGTGCTTTCCCTTTAGATCTAATACCATGGGAGAAAGTTACAGATAACTGTAAACAGAATTGTTCTGCCTATGAGTACAGTCTTTGTACAGTCCTTGTGATGAACCCACCATGCTCATTTTACAGGAGGGTTGGGGGAAAGACATCTCAGACAGGTGTGTAGATCTTACTGAAGAGGGAAATCCAGGGGACACTTAAACTGCCCCACAGGAAGAGGGAGACTAAATCATGTTGGGTTTCTTAATCCAGCCATTCTCCTACAGCTTTTCTCCTCCTGCGTCCTTCTTAAATTGAGTCCTTGATTAATACAAACCTCAGAGCACTGGAACTTCACCACCTTCCTTTGTAGAAAGCTGGTGTCAGCCAAGAGCTACTAATGTAAACTCCCTTTCTCAGTCTAATCCAGGGTTTGTTGGAGCGGCATACTAGTTTCCATAGCCTGCTGCTTGTTTTGCCTAGGAAGAATGCTCATCCGCTGTGTCAACTCCCAAGTGGAGGAAAAAGGCAGGCAGGACTGGGCAGAGGGAAACCTTCCCAGCAGGGTGGACCCGGAGTTTGGATTGCTCTGTTAATCAACTGAGTGTGGATTGCTAGCTTCTAATCTAAAGCCCATCCTATTTTGGGGTGCTACGCTTTTTGGTGATTCCCTGAATGATGCACTAACTAAAATGAAGTTTAAAAGCCTATATTATCTGTTCCCAAATAAGAAGAAGCAGAAGGTTAATATAAGGAGTCAGAACTCATTTTGCAACCAGAGTTCCTTTTTGAGCTAGCTAATTTTGACCTATCAGGTATTAATAGTAAAATATAGCAACTAGCCAGAACTAAGCAGCAGTAGAGACAAAATTCTGTTTGATGCCATATTTTACCAGTGAGAGAGAAACTTTAATATTTCTTCTACATGTGGGAATCGTCAACTACTCACCCTTCAGCCTAATGTCCAGTCTTTTGGAAATTTGTATAAGAAAGTACTGTGTACTGTACCAAGGTGGTCATTGTTGCCTTTTTCTGTTGAGCAAACCAAGGTTCTGGAAGCTTAAGAAAATCGCAAAATCAGATCAATAGCTTCTATTATTGTTGATGGACCTATTCCCATAATGTCCAATGTACTATTTATACCTAGTTTTGCCTCGTTGCATGAAAATTTAACAATTTAAATGGGCTAGGATATGCTCATACAATAATTAATATAATTGTGGCTTCTCATAAAAGATATCCAATCAAACATAAAAACTGCTAGAAAGTGTGCTTAAGCTGTTGCCAAAGAAAGAAGGTGGCGCTCAATAAGACTAATGTCCCTCATTTACTGAGACTTTTAATGCAGAACTTTCACAGGGGCTATAATCTGAAATTATACCTGCCGAGACACTCACACAATAAGCACACAATAAGCAAAATTTGAAAATAGTCTGTTTAATTAGTCTACTTCCAGTGCATATATTCTCTTCATATAATTCTTCCATCAGGCTCTTCTTATTGCTGACAAAACCATATTTTAAGCCAATTCATATGCTTTCAGACCAACTCCTGACCTTGAAAGTCCAGTTCCTGGTGGCAGTTAGGATATCTGGTGGCAGGAAGGATGTCTTAGCTGTATGCTCTTGCCTTTCAGGAACCCAGGCACTGATGTCTTTATTTAGAAGATTTATGAAATCTTGCTTTAGCTGAGATTCCTGCATTGCAGTGGGTTGGACTTGATGGCCTTTAGGGTCCCTTCCAACTCTACAATTCTATGATTCTGTGATTCCCTAAAGTAATTTGTCCCACAGAATGCAGGAATTGGTTCTCTCCTATTTTCCCCCTAACTCATTCCACGAGAGACAGAGAGAGAGAGAGAGAGAGAGAGAGGGAGGGAGGGAGGGAGGGAGAGGCTGGCTTACGTTGGATACATGTTGGATACTCAATATGTATTTATGGAGAACAATATTTACTAAATAAGTAATTGGGCTTCAGATTCCTTGTTTATTTTCTTCCATAGTTTCTTGGGACAGAAAGATTTCTAGAGCAACTCTAAATATGTGGCTTTGGACTCCTTGTTCCCTGGAGTACTCTAAAAAAAAGATATTTGTGCCTCTCTTCCTCAAAGACTGTATGACATTAGTGTACTAATGACCTTTTAAGCCACCAGGAGGTATTTTGGCACATTGAGTCTGAGGGTAGGCACCATAGCTGGTCTGATTACTAACCCACCATTATCTCATATCTGAAGAGTAGCTGCCGGATGGGCACTCAGTACACCTACTTCTGTATAGATACCTTACTGAAGCACAATTTGAGCAAAGAATCCTATCACAGATGGTGGGCGGGGTATTGAAGTTAGGTCTCACCTCTTGATGGGTTCTGGTGCTTGAAGGATATCCTTGCATGACCTAGGAAAACATTGCTTATCCTGAGGGTTCTTTCTGGTCATGAAAAGGAGGACATCCTGCATCATTTCACACTAGAATCTTGAAATGACCTCTTGTCCTGGTGGAGTTAACTAAAGTTGCAGTATTAGAACTTAATAATAGTAATTTATTTCTGGTTAGATGATCTTTTGTTCCTCAGCTGTTGGAAGCCTCCAAAACTGAGAGGTTTCCTCCTCCCAGCAGAGATTCCAGAAGCCTCTGGAAGTCCTGCCTTCTTGAAATGGATGGGAGGAGTCAGCCATCAAAGGATGTTCTCCTTTCCATGACAAGAAAGAGCCCTCATAAGTAAGTCCAATAATTATTTCCATTATCTTCTGATTACTTTTATCTTCTCAACTTCATTTTGTCTTGCTTACTATTTGGTTACTAAAAGTAGAACTGATAAAGCAGAAAGTATAAGTTGTTTTTCCCCCTGGTGCCATAACCTTATGTAGCAATGCTTTAACATAACTGGCAAATTCAAATATCTTTAATACGGTCAGTGACCAGTATTAACATAACTGTTATTTGTAATCAATATTTTTTTTAATTTGAATTCTCTATTTTTTCACATTCTTAAGTTCTTTTATTTTGTACCTTCAAAAAGAAACGACCATTACAGAATGATTTGGTTACATAACGTATAGTGGTCAAAGAGCTTATTTGTGAAAGAAAATTAAAAAAAAATCTTTAGAATAGTATTCACTTTCCCCCTAGATGTATAGAAAATAATTTCTAAATGCATTTATTATCAAACTCAGCTTCTGTTTAATTCAAAACATACTTTGTATCTTTGTTTCACATCTACCATTCTCACAGTTGCTCCTCACGACTGTATTAATTTATTATCTAAACAAATCTTTAACCCCTCTGTATTTTTCCTGCTGTTTTGCATTCTTTTCGGCTTTAGCCTTTTCTGCAAACTTGCTGCTCTTGTTAGACATAGGATTTCACTTTTTGGTAAGTTAAGAAAGATTTTCATTAAGTTATCATCACAAGTTGTCTGGGATATTTCTGGTTTGATGAGAAATTGTTGCCTGCTTTTTAGCTAGTAATCATGAAAAGGATTTTTATTTTTTTAAAGATAAAGTATCCCTGAACTGTCCCTTTGTAGTGTCCTTTCAAGCTCTCCTGCTGTCATACCCTGGGACAATTCTGTAAAAATTGTTTACGAGTCCCATTTCCTGCTTCTGTATCAACATACATCTGCTTTGTTTTCTGACTACGGTGTTATCAATAATATATTTAAGCAAATGCAGAAGAGCATGATAATATCATGCAAAGTACTAGATACTACTGGAAGAGAAATTTTAGTGTGTTGTGGAGGAGCAATCGTAGCATCTTGCTAAGTACAGTATACTATCCTTGCACAAACTGCACAGAAACTTGATAATTTGCAGAGTGATGTTATGGGTGGTGGTGGTGAGTTTCTTTGGTGGAGCTCCCACCATTACCTAAACCCTTTTGGCTTCAACTCAGATACATTTTTTTGCATAAATGTTTTTTCAGCCAGGAGCTAAGACTATGTCCTACTCATGAGTGAGGTCCTTACTCACAAGTGTGAAGGGAGGGAGTGGAGGCAAATATGGGAGAGCCACTTACAGGAGGCTGAAGAAGGGAAATGCCAAGGAAGAAAGACTTCTGAAGCTTCTCTTTGAGACAATCATAGCACAGAGCTGAGAAGGAGCATGGGTGAGATCCAGCTCCCTTCTACTGAGGCATTAGACCACAGATTGGAGCCTTAAAGGTGCAAGGCACAGATGCACATTCTGCACATCTTCTAATCTTTTGGATTTTTGGTTCCCCTGAACACTCTAGATATTTTCTGATTGGCAGTTCTCTAATCAAAGAAATCCAAGTAAATTATGAATGGGGGGAAATATAAAAGGCAAGTAGAAAGGGCAGTCTACATGCTATCCATTAATCTAATAATTAGATTATGTAAGAAGAAAAATCAAGAAAGATTCCAACTTTTGTTAAAAGAATATTCAATTTCCCCAGCATAAGTGGGTTTAATAAATGTATTAATTTTTATTTTACCTTTTTAAAAGGAGAATTTAAAAGAGCAACACATTTCCCCATTCATTTTGAATAGGTAGTGATGCTGCTACAATGGTTAGCTGCCTACACATCTTAGCTCAGACACTAGACACAAGGTAAGTTTACTCCTTTTATCAATCTTATATGTGAACACTATTTCACCCAAAGAATTTTTTCCAAAAATATCCTCCCCCCCAAAAAATGAATTATTGGAACCAAATTATTTACTTCCCAGCAGAACATTTTTCTTGAAAGCTATGTAGTAACATATCCCATATACTGTTCAATTTAGGCTGTAATCCTATACATATTGGCGAATATGCTTACTGAATTTGAGGAGACTTACTTCTGAGTAGACTTCTGAGTAGACATCTGTAGATTGTATGGTCAGGAGGTTTAGTTGAAAGCAAGGTGTAAAAGTGGTGAATTTTGCAGTACTTAAAATTCATCATTAAAACTTAAGACTTGGTGCTGTTTTCATTTCCTGTAGAGGTAAATTTCAAAAGCAAAAGTAGAAAATGATTAAAAATATGGTTATAAAATTTCAGTTTTTAAAAGTAGTTCACTTCAGCTTTACTAATCTATCCTTTTTAGCAATTGCAATCTAAGCAGGAGTGCATCCTCTATTTCCCAACCAGCACCCCTAGGTGGCATCTGAGTCTGAGAAAGAATCTGCAAATGTACACTGAGCAATAACTGAGAAGCAGAGGAAAGCCTCTTTTCCTGATACATGTGTTATGTTCGTATCCCTGTGCAGAAGCCTGCTAGAAGTAAGTCTCATTTCATAGCACCAGGGTGAATAATCTCACCATTATAAGACTTGGTGCAAGTGCACTAAAATTAGCTTCCTCGCCATAATTTCCTACATAGTTTCTTAGCATGCTTAGTAAGAACTGTTGAATAGCCATGTAATTACTGGTATATGTCTGGTCAATGTAGACACCTATATCTCAAAGAAACAGACATTAATTGAGGAAGTCTTGATTTGCTATGGAAAAGTATAGGCATTTGATTTCTAAGTGATGTTTTATAATTTGTCCTGCAGAACCGTCATGAAATCAGGTTCAGAGCTGGTTAAAGCAGGACTGCGTGCCTTCTTTGAAAATGCAGCTGAAGATCTGGAGAAGACATCAGAAAATCTTAAACTTGGAAAATTTACCCATTCCCGTACACAGATTAAAGGGGTCTCGCAGAATATCAACTATACAACAGTGGCATTGTTGCCTGTTCTAACATCAATTTTTGAACATGTTGCCCAGCATCATTTTGGCACCGATTTGCTATGTAAGTCTTCTCAGTTTTATCTTTGATTTTCAAATATTGTTTCAGTTGTAACTAGGAATAAATGAGGATTCCACTGCTCATTCCAAAATGGGTCAAGGCTTTGCAGTCAACTGAAGTTGAAACCATGTTTTAGAAGTGTGCATTTAACTTACTGTCTTGTTTATTCTAATATGCTATGAGCTATGGCAAAATCTGAAATTAGCTGCATTATATTTTCATTTTTAATACATAGATTCCATGGAAGCTGTATGGCAGCTAATATGCTTCCAGCCTCATATATTAATAAATTTTGAGCCCTTTGTGATGAATACAGGGATTTTGATTTCATTCAGGGATAAATTAACAGTAGCCTCCTGAATGTTGCTAGATTTTCATTCTAAGTAGTCAATACATCCATTTTATTTATGGAGGATTGTCACATCTTGTCTGAGAGGTCTCCTGCAGCAGAAATTCAAGTGATGCAGCTTGTCCCAGAATAGGATGCAGCGAAGGGTGGGAAGTTTGCCTATTGAAGCTTTGCCTGTTATTCAGTTGCTAAAAACAGAGGGAAAAGTTGTCAGCCTCATTAAGTACTTTTCCTAGGCAAAGGGTCTTACATCAGTGCTGGCTGAAATATACCAGGAATTGGTGGAGACTGATATCCTATCTTCTGTGTGGTTCACAGGGGCCATCACTGTTTGAAGTTAATTAAAAGACTCCCACTGATCCAAAAGTCTTTTACATCAGGTTCATAGGGACTGTGTGGGATATGAGAGAGAGAGAGAGAGGGAGAGAGAGAGAGAGAGAGAGAGAGAGAGAGAGAGAGAGAGAGATGGGCCTTGTGAATAATTAAGACAGCAGTCCAATTTTAGAATTTTGTTAGGTCCAGGAACACATTGGATGGCATGTCTTCCATGAATCCTAGAGTCATTGATCCAGCACAGGCCTCAATTCATGGAAGGGAGGGAGGAAATTTTTATCAGTTATCTTTCCCATCTACAACCTTCTGTTCCAGCAAGCCCCCTAATCCTAAGGGGCAAGTTTTCAGTGGGATGCAGGGAAAAGAGCAAATCAATGAAAACCACCTTCCCCTTCTGTGAGGGGAGGACAGAAACACTCTTCCTGTGAGTGGAATTCTGATTACATGACCTTTGTATCCAGCCAAAATGGCTGCATTGGTATACTCATATCATTGTAGAATAGGAAAGGACCTCAAGCGCTGGCAATTCAGAAATCTCAACTAAAGCATCCCTGACAGATGGCCACCCAACCTTTGCTTAAAAACCTCTAAGGAAGGAGAGTCCACCACCACAATTTTATTTAGAAAAATATATAAAATTGAATAAAGCATTAGGAGAGTACTATATACAACAATTGGCTGTTGTTTGGGTAAACTGTATAAAGAGGTCAAAACATTCAATTTAAAAATATGACGTAGCTGAACATAAGTGTTTTCTTTTCTTTTCTTTCCCCCAGTAGGTGATGTCCAAGTATCATGCTACAGAATTCTTTGTAGCCTGTACTCTCTTGGAACTGGAAAGAACATTTATGTTGAAAGGTACTTAACAGGAAAAAAGCTGAATACACTATGAAAAGTTGCTCTAAGCATATTGCTGAGTTAAGAGTGATTGTGCCTCTATAAAGCACACCGGTAACCTTTGGTAGCTGAAGCATTTCCTTACAAGCAAGCTAAACAATACCTTGTATTCTCCACTGGGCATTAGGACACTTCCAAGTGGGACTGTGTTGTCCTACTGCTCGAAGGCAGGAAATTTGGTTGCTCCAAAGGTAGTTGGTGTGTCCACCTCCCTTCAAACATTAGTTCACTTTCTTGTATTCAGAATGTATTGGGAAAGGCTTCTAGAAGGCAGCCTTGAGGCCTGCAGTTCTCACCTTGCCCCCTTTTACACTTCAGCCGCACCCACTTTTACATCCCAGGTTCTCCATGGGTCAATGCAGCCTTTGGCTCGATAGCCACTCTTGGCTCACTGGAAGCCAGAAATGTTTCAGTGAAATGTTGCTCTGGAGTGTTTCAGAACACCAGTGTGTCTGCAAATTTTTTCATATCAGTTGTGAAAAACTGATGCGGGGGGGCATACAAATCCAGACAAAATAAATGGTGGCTGAAACGAGACAGGTAGAACAGCTTGCCAGTATTAGCTTGCAAGTGGAAATTCACACAATTGTGGTGGTCATAGGACTCCCTCCTACGTATTGAGTACATTGGTGACTGTCAGGGAAGAGAATGCAGTGGTAGACCACCCTTGCATGCCTGGCTCCAACTGTGGGCCACGTGGGGAACAGGCCAATTGCCAATCACTCGTCAGGGCCTACCAAGAGCTGGGACCAAACATGGTGTGTAAACAAGTGCTGCCATGCCTTCAGCTCCCACGTGGCTGCCTGTTAAATGTGCTTGGAAATGCTCTAAAGCCTTAAACATACCAGTATTGCCTGCCTGTAAGACAGGGCTGGCCCACCCATGAGGCAAGGTGAAGTGGCCACCTCAGGCGGCAGCAGATCTGACCTCCACAGAATGCATTGTCCACTGCTGCTGCCACCGCAGGGGCAGCAATGGCTGCAGTACGTTCTTTGGAGGCCAGATCCGCCTCCTCCTTGGAAGCACCCCTAGTGCTGGCTTTATAACGGCCTCTTGACAAGTAGGAGGCACAGCTGGTTTCCTTCTCCCAGGAGAAAATGGCAGGGGCTGCCATGTAGGGTCTCCTGGATTCTGCACCCGCCCAGTGTGATTCAGAGCAGGGTTATTTCCCCCTTGTGACGGCCTTTGATTCCCACTTTAACCATTGGGTAAGGTACGTGGGTGGCGCTGTGGGTAAACCACAGAGCCTAGGACTTGCCAATCAGAAGGTCGGCGGTTCGAATCCCCGCGATTGAGATAGAAAGGTTTTGGGGTTATTTTTAACTGCTTAGGTTTTCTCTTTCCCCTCCGCAGTTTGACAAGCCCCACACGCAGTGAAAGAGATCATATTATGAGATAATTATTTGCAAGGCCATCTATTATTGCTATCTCTCTCCCCTGCATCTAACTGCTTAATGAGGTTCCTTCCTAGATGTTCTGAACATTTTACTTTTTGTAAAGCAACTTATAAGTGCAGTTAAAACTTTTTAAAAAAATAACCTTCTGCATTAACTGCTGATGTTAAGGAATTATTTCCGTAACGGTTTCCCCCCCAATTCTGAGTTGACTTCACCTTCTGGTTAAACTGGCTGACATTCTCCTCAAGTGATTAAAATATTTTAAAGGGGCTACTCAATTTGAGATTTTCTGACCCTCAACAGTGTAAGATTGTGATCATCAAAATTATACTGCTGAAATGTAGAAAGCTTTGACTAACTAGGAGGGGATTTTTGTGTGTGGAAAGACTAAGCTCTATCCAGCTCTGGTACTGAATTTCTGGACCAATAATTCTTTAATCACTATTTTAAAACAACAAAGTGTGTTGTTGTGGCATACTAAAGACCAACGATTTTGTTATGACAGAAGTTATCATGGACTCAAGTCCACTTTTCAGATACATGAAATCTTGGATAAAATTATATTGTGGGAGTCCAGTGGCAATGAGTTTCAAAAAGGTAGTGACTGTTCATGATAGATTAAATCTATGTTCATTCTGCACACCTTTTGCAGTAGCCGGTTAGTGATAATTGGTGGGGATAAAAGAGTTTTGTGGAGGAAAGGGAGGGCCAATGGGACCTATTGATACTGTGTCCAAGGGCACCCATTAACTTGAAGCCAGCCCTGCACCCTTGATCTCACACCCTTTTCCATTTTCTGTGGAAATCAGTACAAACAAAATATCAAGCCATAATAATGAATCCAGTTTCCTCCCCTTGCCGCCAGATTTCAAATCAAATAATATACAATTGATTTATTAATTTGATCAAAATAAATCAATCTATTCATTCGAAAAGGTTATTACTAGTATTGAATACTGTAAGGTACAGAAACCTGCCTGTGCCAACTAAGATTATGACTTGAAATTTGGTCCCTGAGAGTGTGGCTTCATCTATTGCTCAAGGAAAATAATTTCTTTGACTGTTACTTTTGATTATCCACAAGATGTGGTTGAACATGACACTGCCTTCCAGATTTAAATATACTTGCTACCCAATTAGACAATTTAAATATACTTGCTACCCAATTAGACAATTAGACTATTTAATTTGAAGACATTTTAAATGTAATGTGTGAATTGGATTTGATATATTGTGGGGTTGGTTTTTTACTTCAGATGTATTGTGAAAGAACTGATAGTGTTCTTTCGTTTACAGACAACGTCCGGCTCTTGGTGAGTGCTTAGCGTCTCTTGCAGCTGCCATTCCAGTAGCCTTTCTTGAACCTTCTCTCAATCTTTACAATCCCCTGTCTGTCTTCAACACAAAAACTGCAAGAGAGAGAGCTAGTAAGTACAGTACTCTGCTACAAAAAGTTGAACTGAGAAATAAACTGCATCCTTATTGTCGGTTTTTGGACCTTTATTGCACTGTATTTGGAACTATCATCATATATTTCCACTTAACTCCTTTGATAGTATTGTTTGACTGAAATTATTGTGGAAATGTCTTGGAATGGTAATGTTTATAGCTTAGTTAAATGCTAAGCATTTAGCCAGTTCGCCATGCTATTTTATCTCTGTGCCCATTTAAGTGCATTTGTGAAATTAGGTAGCCGCACTAATCTATCTGCACATACTGTATTCATACTTGACTCTTCATGCATTCAAACAATGATCTTATTTAGATTGTCTACACCGATACAGTCACAAACACCCAGACATAATTCTGAAGATTGCAGAGGCTGGGGGGGGGGGAATCACGATTATACAAATGGTCAGGAAATTAAGTTTGGTTGTCTCTGTCACACTTTACACTCTCCATGAAAATCCAGCCATAGAAAACCTAAGGGCACATTTCATGAAAGTGGTTTTGAATGTTTAAAGTGGCCCTGGATCACCATTATTCACCAAAACAAAAACTTTGGAAGAGCAAGCGCTTTGAAGGGAATCAAGTTGTTAAGAATTTAGAATGCAAGGAAATTTGCTAATAGAATGGCAAAAATTCTCTCTCTACTTTATGAAATCTTGAAAGGTCTGAAATATCATTCTGATAAAATCAAGATTTGTACTCTGCCGTTTGTTATCTTGTGATGCCTCTGCAATCTAAAACATTTCAGAGTAAACATATTTCAGAGCAGGGGGTGCTGTAATCGCAGCAGGAATACAATCTGTATGACACCTAAAGTATAATGAATGTGAATGGGAACTTTCTGAGGCCCCTCTTTCTCCATGGGTAGTGTTGGTTCCAGATTGGGAATGGGGGGGGGGGATGACTATCCATCAGTGTTATCCAAGCCAAAAAATATTGTTGGCCAGTTGCTTCCCTTTCCTCCACTCCCTGAAGCAAAGCAGTAGCTGAAGAAGCCCTCCTATGGGAAAGAGGCAGGAACATGCTTGCTTTAGCTGATCAAAGCTGAGAGGCTTAGAGCTTTGCTTCTCAACCGCAGTTGATGAAGCCCCCTGCCCCCAAACTTTATTTCCTCTGGAAAGAGAGATGAAGGGTATCTTGGCCTCAGCTGCTGGTGCGTGGCAGTATTCATGATAGTGGTGAAGAACAACACTCAAGGAAGCCTTGCTGATTTATCCTGGTGTGGACAGGCACTCTGGGCACCAGGACAACACAGCAGTCAAGTGATCCTCAATCTTCCTCACAATCTTTGAGCTAGGAAGGCAGGGTGGTCATTCCATAGTTGGCACAATATGCCTCACCCACCTCCTGCAGCTTCAAAGTTGGGAAAAAGTCTGGTTGCTTATTACATAGTCAAAGGGCGATGCCACACACACCATCCTAAGCACGATGACCATAAATGTTAAAACCTAAGTGGGTAGCAGAAGACAATCCAATATTTCATAATTTATCCATTGTATCTGATAAATGCATTGCATTTATAGAAATAAAGGTTCAGTTGGTTCTATTATTGGAATGGAATTGATTTTAGAGTGTGTTTTGTTATTGCTTTAAACTGTTTTGTGTAATTGTTTGTTTTTAATTGTTTTTAATTTGCAATTGTTTCATATGTTTTTTTGTTATATTGCTTCAAGGTACAATTGGAGATTCATAAATGAAATAATAATAACATTAAAACCTTTTTTAATTGCTTCATGCCTATTTAATCCACTTCCACAGAATGCAGTAAACGTAAAGCCATCTTTAAAGGAACATGCTCATCTTTTGTTCAACTGTATTTTAGTTGCTAACATGCTATTGTTTTTCTGGCATATAGTATTCTGGCAGCACAATCATTTATGCCGCAACATCCTTCTTTGTGTAGATTTTTTAAATGGCATAGCATTCAGTCATGTGACTCCACAATAATCAGAAGTAGTACACATTGTAAACACAGGTTTACTACATTATCTGACTGTGAGAGCTAGGCCCAAAGTGTTATGGAATTAATAAAAAGCTCCATGTAAAGCATGGAACCAAACAAAAAAACAAAAACCATTGCTGTTGAACAGTAGAGGGAACTAATGAATCATGTTTGTATCCATGCAGAATGTGTCAGAGTTACGGTGGAAGTAAAATGATTTAAATTGTGCTTTAGCTATTTTAAGCATTAAGTATGTTAACCACCCCAAAATTATTGTTATGTGTCATAATATTAAGTTTTAGGCATGCCTGAAACCGTAGAAGAAATGTGTCCAGAAATCCCTCACTTGGATGGCTTAATGAAAGAAATAAACAGCTTGGCAGAATCTGGAGCCAGATATACTGAAATGCCACACGTGATTGAGGTGATCTTGCCCATGTTATGCAACTATCTATCATACTGGTGGGAGAGGGGGCCTGAAAATGCTGAAAGTACTGGCCCCTGCTGCACAATGGTAACTTCTGAACATCTCAGCATAATACTGGGGAACATTTTGAAGATCATCAACAATAACCTGGGGATAGATGAGGCAACTTGGATGAAGCGAATAGCAGGTACCTCGTGACAAATTTCATTTAAACAACTGATTACTAGAGCTGCTTTATTTGTCAATATCAACAAAGCATTAATTCCCCAATAGTTGTACTTCTTTTACGAAAGCTTTCTCTCACAGTCAGATTTACATTTTAGAATCAATGTTTTTTATTAAATTAGTTAAATGGTAAAATCTCAGTAAAATCTAAATAATATATGCTTGGTTCAAAAATTGGGGGTCCTGCATTCCTGAACATTCCTGGTATCATTATGTGTTTGGAAATAATTTTTAATATCTGTAGAGCTAGGAGAAAATACTATCCATTAATTAAGCGCATGTAAGTCTCCCTGAAAACTCTTGTGGCACAGACCTGTCCTGTTTTTAAAGCTACAAAATGGATGGATACATATATGAAGAGTTCTCATGGTTTTCATTTGATTGCATCAGATGTGGTCCACAGCAGTCAGGAAAATATTTTCATCTTTCATTGAGACAAAGGCCTAGTTTAGTTGTAGTGTTACCATTTTTTTATTTTACATTTTGTGGGTTCTCCAAAAGAAAACTCACTGAACCATCTTAAGAAAAATGAACAACAAGTTGATGCAGTCAGAGCCCGGCACTCAGAAATGCAGATGTTGCATGTTGCTGGCATGGTGGAGAAGAGCAGAAAAAGAGTGTGCCCAGGCAGGGAGGATATATAGCTACTCCCTCTTCCTGTCAGGGCACAATGGGAGTGTTCTTGCTGAGTTCTCTCTAGCAGATTTTACAAGAAGACTCTGTGAGCCTCAGCCCCTATCATGTGACTATCTAGCAAATCATGAATTGTTGGTTTGACTGCATTTAAATATCCAACAGTCCAATTGGTTACTTACATGTGGCTTGGTTAAGCCACTTGATAGTTTGAGTACACTGTTTCACATATACACCATTTTTAATGAAAGAACCCAAGTTCAGATACATAAATTCCCTGTCTTGAGGCAGGATTCCTATATATTTATTAAACATGTATAATGTTTATGCTTATTTATTTAAGCAAATTCTATGGTGTTTTACATAGCCAAAACAGATCTCTAAGCAGTCTACAGCATATCTTAAACCAGGCATAGGCAAACTCAGCCCTCCAGATGTTTGAGGCTGCAACTCCCATCATCCCTAGCTAACAGGACCAGTGGTTGGGGATGATGGGAGTTGTAGTCCCATAACATCTGGAGGGCTGAGTTTGCTTATGCCTGTCTTAAACCATCAAATGCAATATTACAATATGTTGTGATGCCTGAAATTTGGTGAATGTCAACCTGCAGGTGTGACCACTGACTATCCCAGACAGATTGTCTGGATTTCTAAAAACTCATAGATACACAGGTGAATGTCATCAAAATAGAATGGTTAGAATTGACACTTGCTGATATGTAGGGAAAATATTTTTGGACATTCCCCAAACTCGGCTGGAATTGTCAGCATTCATATGTGTATGTGAACATTCATCAAATTCTTGATATCAAGCGTAACCTAATATAGAAGTATTTCTGCCTGTATACTTTCAGGTAATACATAATCAGGCAGATATGACTTTAGACTCAGTTCATATATAACAGTGAACCATGGTTTATTGTTATGTTCACAAGTAGCATGAGCCTTGGTCTTGTACAATCCCTCACTATCACAAGGATAAGAGATTTAAATCTCCTGTGTCTCATTTGAAACAAACAATGAATTGCTGTTGCATCCAAACTCATCAAACTATGGTTTGTTCAAACCAGTTTGTTAACATGCCAGGATAACAAACCATTATCAGTACAAACCACCAATTGGTGAGTTCTGGGTGCATCCAAAATTTCAGGTCATTCCTATACAGAGACAAGTTACATTTCCTCCCCAGAGGAGTGGGGAGCACACGAGCCCAAGATTTAAGTCAGCCCATGCAAATTACAGGAAAACATGGTTTGTTGTTGCATTGTACTGATGTCTACAGTCACAGTGCTATTATGAAGCTAAACTAGAATGAATGCATTTGTTACTTTTTACAGAGTAACAAAATATGTTTAAATGTATATTTATAGAAATATGTTTTGTATATAGTGTATGCTCAGCCAATCATTAGCAAGGCCAGGCCGGATCTGTTGAAAAGTCATTTTATCCCAACACTGGAGAAACTAAAGAAGAAAGCCATAAAGATAGTGATGGAGGAGGAACAACTGAAAGCAGACAGTAAAACGGATACCCAAGAAGCAGAACTCCTCATTCTAGATGAATTTGCAGTTCTTTGCCGCGACCTTTATGCTTTTTATCCTATGTTGATCCGCTATGTGGACAACAACAGGTAGGAGAATCTGTAACTAAAGGGGATTAAATGGATTTTTTGTATTTATATCCTGCACCTCAACATAAAATTTATGTTCCTAATTTTGCTAACAA